AAAAAAAGAACACTGAACGTCACCATGTTACTCATAAAAGTGAGCTCATTGTGGGATCCAAAGAGAACTACAGCAATCCATCCATTTTCCGTCCCCCTTCTCCCTATCGGGGTCGGGAGGTGCTGGTGCCTCTCCAGCTGCGTTCCGGGCGAGAAGCGGGGTTCACCCTGGACAGGTCACCAGTCTGTCACAGGGCAACACAGAGAGACAAACAACCATGCACACACACACTCACACCTAGGGAGAATTTGGGAAGACCAATTAACCTGACAGTCATGTTTTTGGACTGTGGGAGGAAGCCGGAGAACCAGGAGAGAACCCAGCATGCACAGGGAGAACATGCAAACTCCCTGCAGAAAGACCCCGGGCCGGGAATCGAACCCAGGACCTTCTTGCTGCAAGGCAACTGCGCCACTGTGCAGCCCTTCAGCAGTCATAGTTAAAAAAAAAAAAAAAAGTCTCAGCTCACATGTATACACTGAAATATGAAACCGATCCACTCTGGAACCCTCTTTCAGAAATGATCTCTTCTGGTCTCTCAAAAAGCCGAATCCGTGTGGACAACAGAATAAAACAAAAAAACTTGCGGATAAATCTGAAACGGTCTCCTTGTGGCTGAGGCACAACGAGTTCATCTGCTGAACAAAGACCGAGAACGTGACTGCAGACTGAGGAGGTCATTCAGCCTCAGTTTCCTCCTCGGTCTGCAGCTGATTCAGGTCACAAAGGCTAAAAGTTGCAAATATATAAATAAGATTACATTAATGCACTTATATCTACACATGTGAACAAAGACGTTAATGTGTGTGATTTTACCTATTAGTGACGCCTCTGGAACTTCTCCCTCATAGATGGACTGACTGAAAACAGGTTTGTTGTCATTCTGGTCAATTACATTGATTTTAATTTCCATTGGCTCCTCTGCAGTTGCACCTTCCTCTGCAGTAACATGGACTGTGAGCTGTAACATGATGCCATTTTTTTAATCACCAGAACAATTATATTGTGTCTTTCTTCTTTCATAATGATGAAAAATAATTTGGTTTTTACTGAATACATTTCTGTGTAGGTTTTAAAATTACTTAATATTCTAAAAAGTTTTCAATAATTACAGTGAAGTATTCTGTGACAGATTGAGTTACTGAATCCTCTTTACAGCCAACATAAAAACCTCTGAAGAAGACGCTGAGCTCAACTTCCTTCTTCACAAAAATGGAGCAGCGTCAGATTTTAATGCTTGGAGGATTTCTATTTTGTTTTTGGAAAAGATCTTCTAATACATGAACCAAATAATGAAACTATTTGATGATGAAATCATGAAAATAACTATTACTAGTTTCAACTATTTTAGTTGTGTTTACCCAGAATACTCTGCGCTACACTCTGCTTCCTGTTTTTTGAGAGGCCTCCGGTCCGGTTGGCATTCACATGTGAATTCAAACTGTACCAGAGTTCACTTCATCAGAACTGAGTCTGAGGTTTCTGGGCTCTTGATTTCTCCTTTTTTTTTTGGTCTGCATCAGAGTTTGACTGCACATTCACACGATCCCAAACCAACTGGACTTTCTAGTTCTATTACGGTGGCGAAACAGGACTGGTGTGGATGAGGCACCCAACAGATAGCAGAGAAAACACTGACCAGGTACTTGTCCTGTTTCTCTCTGTCCAGTTCCTGTGTGACATACAGACGACCAGTGTCTCTGTCCATGGTGAAAAGACCAATAGGAGGCTGATCTGCTCCAGGACCGGTGACGCTATAATAGATCCTCCGACAACAGGCATCCCCGTCCTCCACCGGTCCATCACCACCAGAACCGCCAACCACACCCCGCGGCTGGAACCAGGGCGCAGCACCACGCCGAGGACGCGGCCAGCAGCAGCAGCGGCAGAGCGGTCAGCAGCGGCAGCGCGGTCAGCGGCAGCGGCTAGCGCCTGGAGCGCAGCGAGGAGGACAGGAACGCAGCGGCTACCAGCAGTTTGAGGACCCGCTCTTCACCACCAAGGTCAGAGCGCTACACAGGCTGCTCAAAGCCTCCACCGCCTCCTCCTCCACCGCCTCCTCCTCCACCGCCTCCTCCTCCACCGCCTCCTCCTCCACCGCCTCCTCCTCCACCGCCGGTAACCTGTGCGTCCCACCAGGTGGGGACCTTAAATAAAAAGGTGAACTGGTCACTCGACCTAAAGTAAAAGTATGTGGTCCTGGGGGACTCGAATGTGGGCAGGTTCCCGCCCTTCAGCAACCCGGACCTGCAGGTCGTGAGTTTCCCTGGGGCCAAGTGGGGGGCACCTGACTCACCTTTTTAACAAGGCTCCGGTGTTCCAGCAGGTGGAACGGTTGATCCTCTCGGTGGGGATCAACCACAGGTCCCAGGTTGACAGGGAGAGGATTGTGCAGGAGATGGAGAATGCCCTGGAAGCAGCCAGGGAGAAGTGTCCACAGGCGGAGATCTTTGTCCCCGCCGTGAACTTCTCCCTGGCTCTTCCTCCATACCAGCAGGTGACCTTAGCTCTCCTTAATAGGAATATAGCGCAGCTTAGCCGCTACATCCCCGCGCTGAACAGGCGGGACTTCAGTGTTGCCGGGACAACGTCCACTGGACCCCGTCCACCGCGGCTAAGATGCTGAACCACTGGGCCCAGTGGTTAAATTAGAGAGCCCCACTAGCCTGCCTGGGAAGGAGGGGCACTGTAAACTTGTATATATAATGTATGTAATCTGTCTAAGTCTTTCACCCTCAGTGATGCACAGTGCTCCCTTCTTACCAAGGGCTTGACCTTCATCCCCACACAGGTCGACAGTCTGAAGCAGGTCAAGATGCAAATGCGTTTTGACCTGCAAAAATACCACAGGAGACTGAAATTGGCCATTTATTATAAAGATGATGTTGATAATGTTAATATTACCCATTTGCCTTTCATGCCGGAGTCCGACTGGTCCCCTCCAATCGCCGCTCTTCCTCCTGAGGTGGGCAAATTAATTTCCCAAGATCTAGACTATTTGGATAACAAATTTAAATTTATTAAAACTAAACCAAATTTGAATTCGGCTGAAACTGGGCACTAAAAGAACTAATCTCGAACAAGAACATCATAATCAAACCTGCTGATAAGGGCAGCTCCATAGTCATCATGGACAGGGAGCAATACCTGTGGGAGGGATACAAACAATTGAACAACCAAACATATTACAAAAAATTAGACGCCCCAATTTACACCGATACGGCCCCCCTTGTAACCAAAATTTTAGAAGACCTACACAAAAAGAAATTTATCAATTCGAAACAAAAAACTTACCTGAGCGGCGCCCCTGAGCCGAGAGCCAGGAGGTTTTACCTGCTCCCCAAAATCCACAAGGAGCCTGAAAAGTGGAGCTTGCCGCACGAGATCCCTCCTGGCAGGCCGATCGTCTCTGACTGCGGTAGCGAAACCTACCGCACAGCAGAGTTTATCGATCGCTACCTATACCCCTCATCAATTCGGCACCAAAGTTATATTAAGGACACCTACGATTTTGTGGAAAAAATTTAATTAATCTCTCTACCTCAGGACTCTATTCTATTTACTATTGATATTGACAGTTTGTACACTAACATTGACATAGATGAAGGAATTGGCTGCATTAAAAACATTTTTTTGAAATATCCAGATTCGAGGAGACCAGATCGAGAACTCATCAAATTATTAGAAATTAATTTAAAGAGGAATGACTTTATATTCGATGGCCAATTCTTTCTCCAAATCAAGGCCACGGCCATGGGGAAGAAGTTTGCACCAGCTTATGCAAACATCTTCATGGCTCAGTGGGAGGCCGGGGCCCTTAGTACATGCAGGAAAACACCCCTGCATTACTACCGGTACCTGGATGACATCTGGGGGGTCTGGACACATTCTGAAGCCGAATTCCAGGAATTCCTCCAGCACCTGAACACATACAATCCATCTATCACAGTAAAGTCACTACCAGCGTTAAAGCGGTCGACTTCCTGGACACAACCACATATAAAGGAGAAAACTTTGACACAACACATAAATTAGAGATTAAAGTTTTCTTCAAACCCACAGACACACATGCTCTGCTATTTAAAACCAGCTATCATCCAAGGCACACTTATGCTGGCCTAATCAAATCACAGCTCCTCAGATTTCAGAATTTGTTCACAGAAAACAGACTTTAAGGAGGCAACTAGGATTCTGTTTTCTGCTTTAAGTAAGAGAGGATATTCCAGATCTTTCCTGAGAGCATGCAGGAAGAACTTCCTTGAGTCCAGACCCCCCGATTCATCACCAATGGTTCCTCTGATCACTACATTCTCCTCCTCAGCAGGACAGTTTTGTGCATAACATCAAGCAGAATTCACCAAATTCCAATCAGACACCTCTTTGCTGCAAAATTACAGAATAATCGCGGCCTACAAAAGAAACAAGAACCTGAGGGATTTCCTCGTCCGTGCTGAGGTCCGACCTTTGAATGCACCAAAGGTCAGGGGTCAGAGCGAATTCTTTAAACAGCTGCACTGGGTACAAAACAGACTCAAAAACACAATTTTCAAATTAGACCCATCAGGAAACCCCAAATCAAAAAATTGTGTTTATTTAATAACATGTCAAATCTGTAAGATCCAGTATGTGGGTGAAACGGGCAACAGCCTCCTTACCCGTTTCACCCAGCATAGATATAATATTCAAAAGAAAAAAGGACTCATGTACCCTTAGTGCAGCACTTTATACGCCACGGCTGGGATGCACTTTCGGCCCTGGTGCTGGAATGCGACCCAGCCTGGTCCTCAGCCCAGAGGAGAAGGGCTGAAAGACTGTGGATCCACAGGCTGGACACACAGATCCCCAAGGGTCTGAATGAGAGGTAGGCTCCGCGTGGGGACTCCTGGCAGGACGTGCCCGTGCATCCTGGGGGAGGGGAAGAGGGAGAGGGGCTGAAGGAAGGGGACCTGGAACCTTCTGGGTCCCTGACCTTTGACCCTGAACCCAAACCCCAACCCCAACCCAGTCTCTCTTCCTCCTCTTCAGTCCTGGACTGGATTTAGTGAAATCCAGGACGGGGATCTGAGGACCAGCTGGATCCTAAGGAAACAAATATTCTGTCTGTAAATGACTGAACCGACTGTGAAGGTCTGGTGAATGATGAAACCAGGGTGCAATCTGGCCCTCAAGGGCCCCTGAAGACGAGTATCAAAATAATCTCATAATCTTGTTACTATGATGATGAGAAACAGTTCACAACGCTGCTTTTTAGTCCACTATATTGTCTGTTTGTTTGGCTAATATTCATTAAATGTGTGTGTCACATGATGTAAAAATAAAAAATGAAAGAAAAGACACTCACACTGTCTCCAATATGATGATTGTCTGTGCCAGTTTCCAAGGCTTTTTTGCTCACTTTTAATATTAACATCTCTGACTCAAATCCAGGCTGAGATGGTGATTCCTCTGCAGCTGCAGTCTAGAAGAGGAGAAGAAATATGTTTATTTTAACGGCTAATTTCTATTATATGGTCTCAACAGTTTTTACATTGTTGGAAATTTCACATTTTTCACTCCATCCATCCATTTTCTGTCCCTAATGAGGCCGGGAGTTGCTGGTGAGAGGCGAGATACAGCAACGCAGAAATAAACAGGACAAACACACACACACACCTCGGGAGAATTTAGAGAGACCAATTTACCCGACAGTCACGTCTTTCTGCAAACTCTGTGCAGAAAGATCCCAGGCCGGGAATCGAACCCAGGACTTTCTTGCTCAAGGCAACAGTGCTACCAACTGCGCCACTTTTCAACAATGTAATAAATATTGTTTTGTAGATCAATTTGTCTGTTAAAATGTTCAACAGAAAATAGTGAAGTATCATGCAATATGCAAATTTTGAGCTGAAAATTTTTTCACTCCAGTTTGATTTCATACGCCCTAAAATCAATGTCATTAATAAGAGCATGTTAAGATCTGTCCTGCACTAAGCAGATTGTTTCAAATTGCATTTAGAAAGGGCCAGAACCCTGCAACTTTTACATTTGTTCCTTGTACTACATTCTTTAATTAAATGGTCAAACTGCCTCATTAGCATTCAGTCCAGCTCTACAAAGTTCTGCTGATGAGTGCATGTTTGAGCCAGGTGTGTTGAAGCAGAGGTGAAGGAAACCGGCCCTGGAGGAACGCAGTTTGAGACCCAGACGTAGCGAAACTGTCCGAGCTGTGATGCCTCAATAGTTAGGTTTCTTACATTGATGGAAATGTAACATTTTTCAATAACAAAACATAGTAAATAACGTTGTTTTGTGCATGTCATACATGTTTACTACTTTTAACTGTCACCTATAAACACAAAATAACAGAGACACTTAAAAAAAAAAAATGGAGAAGTGTTAAAATTAAAGGAGAGAAAACTTCGTACCTGCCGCAAGAAGATCCAAACACTCCAAACTGCAAACCAAGTGGTCCCCATTTGTGTGGAGAAGCTCTTGTGTTTTATTTTTATGAATCAAATGTTTTTGAGAGACAGAGAAGTCAGCACGTCAAGACTCTACTGCAGACTGTTATCTTCTGAGCCTGCAGTGGGCACGAAACCACTAAATGTTCACATAAACCACTGCATGCACACACAACAACCAACAAAAGTCACAAGTTCTGCTTTTTTTCACCAATTTGATCATTTTAAACAGGTGTGTCAGTTTTTAAACTCTTCTCAGGTGCTGCAAGTGGCATCTGGTAAACTTAAAGTGTGTGTGTGTCAGACCTTCCATTTTTCAGTCCTCAGCTGTTATCAGCAGCAGTTATATGCATGCTGCTGATATATATCTGATATATATATGATATATCAGCAGCAGTTATTATGCATGCAGCAGTTATTTGATGCATGCAATAACTGCTGCTGATATATCATATATCTGATATGATATATATATCATATCAGACGGACGACAGTCACGCGTCAGCTACACCCTCATGCACTCAGAGGTTCAACAAATTTCCGAACCAAACACTCCAAAGAAACAAATAGAAATAGTAAATAGATTTCTTGCCTTGTGACCAACTGACACAGAATTCATGTTGTTACAAGACCCACTGTTCTCTAGTGAATTTTTAGTCATACCCAATATTTTTAATAATTGTTATATAAAAAGTGTTGTTTTTTTCTTCAATAGCTTCCGAGTCATGTGCCTTATTGACTCAAAATCAGTGTGAAACGGTTCTTAACTCGTGAGATGAAGTGCACTCGTTTATTGCCTTTGAACCTTTTTGATATTTTAGCATCTTTTTGTTAAAATGTAGTATTTTTCTTTGGCTTCTGGTCATGACCCATTTGCACTAAATCATGTGAAATTGTTCTACTAGACTTTGAAGATGAGGCTCACCTGCTTATTCCATTGAAACATTTTAGTCCTTGTCAGTAGGACAGGTGAGCTACTAAACCAAATATGATTGGCAAAATTAACATCAAAAATGCAAGAAGACCTAAATGGGGAAGATACTAAAGAGGTTCTTTGACCTCTTTTATGAGCTGAGTTTATCTTTTTGTCATTTATATCTGTGGGTTAAAATAAAAGAAACTCTGTTTTTCTATTATTTCTGTTATTTCCTGTGACTCCCCCTAGAACAATTTCATGCTGATTCAGTGTAAATGGTCACATGACCCAGAAGCTATAGAAGAAAAATACTACATTTTAACAACAACAAAAAAGCAAAAAATATCAAAAGGTTCAAATTCAATAAAAATGAACAGCTTCACTCTGATTTGGAGTCATTGAAGAAAAAAATAATTTTAATATTACAATTATTAAAAATATTGAGTATGACTTGAAAATTTACTAGAAAACAGTGGTTCTCATGTAACAGCAGCCTTGATGTGGAAGTTAAATGCTTGCATGAAACCAAATAAAAGTAAGAATGTAGAAGAAGAACAACAACAAATGGGGAAGTTGGAAAGAAGAAGAATTCATGTCACAATTTAGAACTGGGCATGCAGGACTTAATAGTTCTCTTTTTGAAAAGAGAAACATGAAACGAGGACTTGTGATTATTGCAGTCAGATGGAGGCAGTGGGACAGGTCTAATTAGAATGTAATAAATATTCAGAGGGACGTCAGCATTTAAAGTCAATACAAGAGAAGAAGGGATTTTCTGATAAATATTTTAGGAAACGAATCAAAATCTATAAGAAATCAATTAATTAGATTTAAAAAAAACTATTAGGTTATTTAATCGTTTTTAAAAGTGTGTGTGGGGGGTTATGTGTGTATGCGCGCGCGTGTGTGTGTATGAATTTGCACACTTCTACACACCATTGAGGTGCGTATTGTTAAATTCCCTCTGTATCGTTGATGACAACACTCCAGTCCGGTAGGTGGCGGTAAAGTCACCTTAAGTTGGTTGCCATTTGCCAATAAAACACAAAAGAAGAAGACAGAACAAACGGAGTGGAAAGCGGAACCAAAACATGCGAGTCGGCTTCAGTTTCTCCCCGGCGTGTAAACAACTACGGAACGCAGCGGAAGAAGGTCCATCGTGCAGAAAGGCTGACCATGTGCTAACAGCGTTAGCATTCTGCTGCTACGTCTTCTCGATTTACTTCCCAACATGGAGAACATTACAGACGGAACATGGGACACTTTACCTGTCCAACTAAACGAGAAGATTTTACAAACGCTTGAGGAATGAAATTTACCTTCATGACACCTGTACAGGTAACTTTCATTAGCCTTAAATCCTTGTTTCAATCCATGCTGCCCTGAATCTCCACCTGTCTGACTGATGGATCTCTTTTCGTTGTAGTCGGCTTGTATTCCGCTGTTCATGAACAATAAAGACGTTGCTGCTGAGGCGGTGAGTGTGAACAAGTTGTTTAAAGAGGCCGAGACGGAGCAAGAACTAGAACTGAACCAGTAGGATTTACTGACACGTTGATTCTGGGTCACGAAGAAATCCAAGCTAACGTGATCCAGGAGACGTCGAATGTGTTGAGCGAGTTGTTACAAAAATGACAAATGAATAAGTACAAGGTACCAAAAACATCTGCGATGTCTCTGTCATGAATGGAAGTATATCTGATGAAGGAGCGCTGTGATGATGATGATGATGATGATGATGATGATGATGATGATGATAAACTCACAGCAGTAGTGGTCATTTGAATCACTTTCTTATTAGGACAAAAAGTTGGAACAGGCCTGTTGGTAGACGCTCTGTATCCAATCGGACAGAAGAATTCAGTTTGCACATGTGCAGAGCTGACAGGTTCATCCTCTAAAGGGCTTGCAGTTGCTATTGTTCTTCAAAGTTCTACAAAGTTTTAACTCAAGCAGGGTGAATAAGTGCATGCCACACTTATCAGATTTTCAGCTGCAAAAATTCAGAATGATGGACTTTTTTTATCTAACCGAAATCTGAATGAAATTTATAAAGGTTTATGGTCACATGACAAAATATGAAACGTTCAAGAGATGCTTTGAAGTTGCTCTGTGTGTTTAACGTGATTTGGCTCCCTCTGCTGGCGGCTGAATCAATATTCACCTTGGATCCAACAGTAGATATTAAATATGATAGATGGTCAAAACTGAGGATATAGAGTGTTTGTAATTATCAAAATTATGCAAAAACAGTTATTTGGAAAAGATCAGGAAGTTGTGCTGCCATGACAACCGGTAGTTTCTTAAGGCGTTTGCTGTTTTGCTTCAGGTCACCGGCAGTGGGAAGACTTTGGCTTTCGTCATTCCTGTTATAGAGCTGCTGCTGAAGCGCGAGGAGAAACTCAAGAAGAAACAGGTAACCATGACACCGAAGCAAAAAAACACGGCTACTTTAGTCTCTGCAGTATTGTTATTTATCTTTTTTTGGATGCTGGGAGGTTTGCTGTTGTGTCGGATCCGCTGAAAAGTTCAGGTGTTTTGTGCAGGTCGGTGCTCTGGTGATCACTCCCACACGAGAACTGGCCCTGCAGATCAGTGAAGTGATGGGAATGTTTATCCAGAAGTTTCCAGAGTTCACGTGAGTATCTGTATATAAAAATTAAAAAAACTCCACAGAGTCAAATATTGTAGATTGGAATTGTTTCAAACTGAGCTGGCAGATTTAACTACAGGCATTTTTTTTATCAATTTGCACTCAATAATTTTCACCTTTTGGTTCTCAGGCAGATTTTGCTGATTGGTGGCAGCAACCCGGCAGAAGACGTGGAGAAGTTTAAAGAGCATGGGTACGCGACGGATTTCAGTCCGACTTTAACTGGATGAAAAGCTGGCAATAAATAGACTTCCTCTGTTTTTAATGGTGTATCACTTTCTTCTGTTAGACTTCATCATTTGAACAAAATGCTTCTGAGTAAAGTTTTCATTTTAATAAGTAACCGAGGGCAAATATTTTAAATTTTTATAAGAAAAATGAAAGCTGTATCCCAGTGGTGGCAACACAATTAATCCACTAATAGGGACCTGATGTTTTGTTTAGCTCCTTAGAGTTTTTTGCTAACATTGAAAACATTTGTTCCAAAGAATCACTTTCTCAAGAGCAACCATACAGGTAGGTGTGTCATGATAGCCACTTACCTGCGTGTCAACTATCGCTCATTGTTGAGAGCAATAGTCTGTGTTGTAACACACATCGGGTAACAGCATTTACTGCATTAGCTTCCACGACATACCATCTTATTGTAGTGCTTTAGCTTGTGCTAAATACATCTTGTTTTACTGCTTCAGCATTAGCTTGTGCTAAATACCATCTTGTTTTACTGCTTTAGCATTAGCTTGTGCTAAATACCATCTTCTTTTACCACTTTAGCATTAGCTTGTGCTAAATACCCTCTTGTTATACTGCATTAGGTTCTCCTAAATCTTGACAGACATTTTTAGCAATAACTTCTGCTAAATATCCTGTTAAGCCACTTTAGCATTAGCTATTGCTAAATACCACCTTGTTATAGCACTTTAGTATTAGCTGAATTAATGTTTAAGATTAGCGCTGTAGTCCTCAGTGTTAGTTGGGAACATGTTAGAAAGCGACTGTCGTGCTGTAACGTTCGTTTCACTTTTTTTTTTCAGCGGCAACATTGTGATTGCGACGCCGGGCCGCCTGGAGGACATGTTCAGGAGGAAGTCAGAGGGGCTGGAACTGGCCAGCGCAGTCAGGAGCCTGGATGTTCTGGTTCTGGATGAAGCTGACCGGCTGCTCGACATGGGCTTTGAGGCCAGGTACGAATCAGCAGGAAACATTTTACAGTCAGGATGGAGGAAAGATCCTATTCCAGGATGAGTGCACACCTTTAAAAAGTCTTAAATTTATGTATCTAAAATTAAGGCCTTAAAATGTCTTAAAGTCATTTAATGTGTTGTGGCAGGACTGTTTAATCTGTTATATTCTATGTATTTTTTTTTTCTTGCACTAATTTTCTGTCAGGTTAAGTTTGAGTTACCTGCACACATTTTCATTGTGCTCCGTGACTCAAGGTGGTTGCTATCAGTAACTAGCTGTCAATATATACGCCCTTGCTAACTAGCAAGCTCATCATGGGGAGGTATAAATTTATCTCTTATGTGCATTCCTAAATTTAGTTTATAATGGTCTCAAAAAGTCTTAAATTTGAGTTGATGAAACCTGCAGTAACCCTGTATTAATAATACAGTGTGAACATTAAAAAAACATGCAATTTGGCCTCAATTACATTAATCAACATTTCTGTCAGGCAAAAGTTTGAGTGGTTTGCATACATCGTCTACAAGATTACCAGACAAGCTACTAGTAACTAGCTGCTGACAACTAGCTTTTTTATAACCATCAATTGCAAATTTGCTGAACATTTATCATCTTTATTACATTTCTGTCATTATCCAGGTCTTTAATTTATAATGGTCTTAAAAGTCTTAAATTTGAGTTGGTGAAACCTTCAGTAACCATGTAGTTTCAAATACAGTCTGGATGTGTTTATTGGTTTGTTTGTTTTTTATTCTCTTGGTTTTGAACTAAATCTGCTCCTAGCCAATCAAGTTGCTCCTGATTGTTCTGCATTTCACCCCATTCCCTCCCACGTCCCCCAGCCTGAACAGCATCCTGAGCTACCTGCCCAAACAGAGACGGACGGCCTCTTCTCAGCCACCCAGACCCAGGAGCTGGAGAAGCTGGTGAGGGCCGGCCTCAGGAACCCCGTCCGCATCACGGTCAAAGAGAAGGGTCAGGCCGCCTCGGCCACCCAGAAGACCCCGGCCCGCCTCTCCAACTACTACACCGTGAGTGACGGAGCGAACAGCCCGCCGTTCAGCCCACGAAGTGAAGACGGCGACGACAAATCACAATCGTGTGCTGTCCTTTCAGATGTGCAGAGCACAGGACAAGTTCAACAACCTGGTGGCTTTTCTAAGGCAACACAAGCATGAGAAGCAGCTGGTCTTCTTCAGGTTTGATTGGGTTCATTCATTTGTGGTTTTTGTTTTGGTTTAATGTTTTTTTTTAATTTCTGGTTGTGTTTTATTTAGAATGTTTAATCAATCACTAAAACAATTGTGAGTTGCAGCCCTCATACAGATTCACATTTTATCAGTTTTTGAATGATAAGAAATCACTTGATATTTCTGCACTATTTAGCAGAAGGTAGTCTTCTTCCTTCCTTCTGTTTTACTATTGTCATCATTAGATGATTATTATTTTAGTGTCATTATTGTCATCATTAGCTTTTTGTTATGTAAGACAGATATACTACATGATCTACATTATCAAGGTGTCTGTAATCATTCCGATGCTGTATGCGCAGTTATTCTTTAGTCATTAATAGTAATATTATTATGTGTAGGTTCTTTAGAATAGTTAATTGATCACATATTAACACCAACATATGTTCTGAATAACAAGTTCCTGCAAATTAATGCATCTGGAAGCGACACATTTCATCAAACTGAGATAAGGGGCAGGATTAAATAAATGTTAACTTCTTTTCCCCCATTTCCAACAGTAAAGTATTGGTAAGCTAGTTGTTTTGTTCCTGGTTATGCATGCACACGTTTTCTCTTACCCGTTGTCCTTGTTGCTTCTAAAAGCACCTGCGCCTGTGTGGAGTACTTCGGCCGAGCCCTGGAGTCGCTGGTCAAGAAGGTCACCATCCTCTGCATCCACGGCAAGATGAAAAATAAGCGCAGCGGCATTTTTAGACTTTAGGGCCTTAAAGAGGTAGAAATCCGCCCCCCGCCCGCAGTAAGTCTGTGCTGTCACGTGTTTGTTTTTAAACGTGTTGTGACGTTGCAGTGGGATCTTGGTGTGCACCGACGTCATGGCCAGAGGCATCGACATCCCCGATGTGAACTGGGTTCTGCAGTACGATCCCCCCAGCAGCGCCAGGTTGGTGCAGTTAGTTTAAAAAAAACACAAACAGAAGTTGTCCTTTTTAAAACAATATATATGTTGCAAATGAATTATTTTATTGGCTTAAGCATTAAAACAATGTTACTTTTCTAACTACTTGGCTCCAACCATTTTTCCCTGTCTGCTCTTTTTTTTTCCCATCAGTGCTTTTGTGCATCGATGCGGGAGAACGGCGCGTATCGGTAACCATGGCAACGCCCTCGTCTTCCTGCTGCCAATGGAGGAACCCTATGTCAACTTCTTGTCCATCAACCAGAAGGTGAGTCTGAAGTTGGGTCCTTCAGCGGTGTTCATAGCCGTCAGCAACAAGACCTTTTGGATCGGCCATGCAGGCGTTCATAATCTGATAATCTGATGATGGATGGTTCACAATAGTTGTCTAGAACTCACTCAGATTATTCAGCTCTAACATTACTCAGCATGAAGTCACTCAGAGGAGGATCAGAGCTACTGTGATATGAAATCCTCAGAAATCAAATCCTGAGTGAGAGTAAAGCAGTTTTTTTTTCCCTATTTTTCTCTTGCTAATGGTGATCTGCTACCCTTTGAGGACATGGGAAATTTTCTGTATTTATTTTTTGCAATCTCTTGCAATAAATTACCAAATTCAACCTGTTCTATTTTGTATACACAAATGTCTATTTAAAATTGCAATTGCAAAAATGTTTTATTTCTGTTGTATTTCGTGATGTTAAAGTTCACTCAAAGAAACCAGAACCGGTTGATAATCGTGCAAAGTGATTGGGTTAACAGTGTTGCTTGTGACCTGACCAGTGCCCGCTGCAGAAGATGTCTCCTATAAAGGACGTGGTGGACGTGACGCCCAAGGTGAAGGCCATGGCCCTGGCCGACCGCGCCATGTTCGACAAAGGCATGAGGGCCTTTGTGTCGTACGTCCAGGCTTACGCCAAACACGAATGCAGCCTCATCTTCAGAGTAAAAGGTGACAAATCCTCAAAGCCAACTGTATGTATTTTTTTTTTATTATCCCCAAACAAAACAAAGAAAATGAAACCTTCTCGTGTTTTTTTTTTTTCTTTTCTGTTAGATCTGGATTTTGTGTCCCTGGCCAAAGGCTTCGCGCTGCTCCGCCTGCCGAAGATGCCCGAGCTGAAGGGGAAAACGTTTCCCGACTTCGTGGAGACGACGGTGGACACGGACAGCATCCGCTACAAGGACAAAAACCGACAGAAGCAGAGGCAGAAGATGCTGGCCGAGCAGAAAAACAAAGAGAAGACGGAGCTTCCCAAGAAGAACTTTGTCAAGAACAAGGCCTGGTCCAAGCAGAAGACCAAGAAGGAGCGCAAGAAAAAACGCGGCGCCAAAAGGAAACACGACGAGGTAAACTCTGTTTGGGGGATAAATGAAACATTAAAGCTGCAGTGTGCAACTTTTATTAATATATATATATTTATATAGACATATTTCTTTTACATATCTGTTGAAACTACTAATCTCCAGCTACCATAGTCTGTCATGAATGCTAAGGCTAGTTAGCATGGCCACTCGATAAAGTTTTCCTTTAACAGTAAGGTGTTTCTCCACCATTAGCACATTTAGCAGTGCGTTCACGACATTGATTGGCAGCGCTAGGACCCTCCTCCTGGCTGCGATTGTTTGTTTTTGACCAGGAACGTTTCATTTCTTCAGACGGCCATAACAGCTCAGGGAGGAAGTGGACTAGATCGATCTCACCTCATAGTGACAGTTTCAGCAAATCTGTAAAAAATATACTCTTCATAAACGTTAAGTACTGCAGTTTCGTTCTCATGGCTTCTGTTCTGCCTCTGCAGGACTCCGACATGGACGAAGAATACATGAAGGAGCTTTTAGAAGACACTCGCCTCCTTAAGAAACTAAAAAAAGGCCAGATCAGCGAGGAAGACTTCGAGCAACAGCTCACGAACTCCAAGCAGGAAGCAGGCGGACCATAAACGTCTGTTTTATTGTTCAGCGAAGGGACGCGGTTATAAATACAGTTTGATGAGTTCGTCGCTGACGGCCGACGGGGTGAGGACCCCCAGGTCTGTGAAGAGCAGGGTGATGAGGGAGGGGGGCGTGTAGTCGATGACCGGGTGCTCCTCCGACAGGTTCCGGATGCTCTTCAGGGTGTCGGCTTTGTACTGTGCGGGACAGGAAGCACAAGTCAATAAATCTGGATAAAAGGACGGAAAATTGTTTAAAAAAACAAACACAAAATAAGGAAGCCGCACCTTAAACTTATCGGGCACGTCCTGTTGGTTCAGCGGATACAGACGAACAAATTTAAAACTTTCTGCAACGACGTAGAAGGGCTTGTTGTGAGCCTTGGAGCACAGAGCCATCTGATAGGTGCCAATCTGGGGAAAACACACACACACACTCTAGATTCTGTTGGAAACGTACACCCGCCCCGTGTTTACACAGACCCGATCTGATACGCGTGTTCAACTATCCTCCAGTTTGAGTTTCACCCGGGGCCGCCAAGGGAACGCACCTTGTTGATGATCCCTCCGCTCTCAACGACTCCCTCTGCTCCAACGATGACCAGGTCCACCTTCTCCAACACGTACCTGGAAGACGGAAAACTGAAACTAAGCAGCTTCTAAAAACAGGTTCATTAAAACGGTGTGAAAGTAAATAAAGCATTTTTCCTCAACTTTTGCTTGTTCTCTTTCTGAACCATCCGATCGGTTATTTTAAATACCAAAACAAAATTTACTATCTAGTGATGCATCAATAAATCAGGTCAGATTTTCTTCTTTTTGGGCGAAGGGCCGATAGTTACTTGAGAAACCGATTTTATCTCTGCAAACGTCTGAAACTCGGCCACTGTCCTGACTGACGGCACCGCACTGTCACCAACTTAGCAAATTTGCTGCTGCATTTAGCGACTTTTGTGACCAAAATAAAACAAAAAAACCCAGACAAAAATAAAAGACATGTAATACTGTTGTACAAAAGCTAAACTCCAGTTAGTAGAGTATATCAGAGTCACTGGAGGCTTTAAATGTCACTAAGAAAGCAACATTTTTACATCAGTAAGTTTGTTTTCTCCTGCTCAGGCTGATGAACAAATAACTGAGAAATTTATTAACATGATATTAAAATGATATCTAAAAAAATTAACTGACTTTTTTTAACAATTGTATCGATTGACCAGCAACATTTTTTAAAAATTTTTTTTTTAATAATAGCTTTATTTTCTCTTTGTTTTCATAGTGGAACTGATGGAGTTTATTTTATCTTAGACATGTATTTTCCAGTTGGATATTTCCAATAACAAAATCCAACCAGTGACGAAAGAATGATTAAATAAACCATTTGCGGTTCCCCCTCCAGCTCAGAACCCAGAGTAGCTCACCCTACAGCTGCATCCAGCACTACTGTTACTGGAACGTTGAGTTTCTTCAGGGCCTCTGCCATCTGCCGCCTTCAACAAAAGGAGAAAAACGCAGAATCATTTCGTGTCCTGTGAGAAAGAAACTCGTCCTCGCTCACTCGCTCACCCTGTGGCGTCAGGCTGCGATTCGGTCACATAGACGGAGAAGCGCTTCTTCTCCGCTGCAGCTTTCTCCAGAACCCGCAGGACCACTCTGGAGTACGAGTGAGTCAGGATTTTCTGAGAGGATTGGCAGGGGAAAGAAAGGCACGAGGTGAAGCGAGCGCAAAGAGCAAGGAGAGGAGACGGGACCAGTACTTACAGCTCCGTCTTTGATGAAGGTGTGACAGAGCTTAGCGACTTTGTTCCTGGACATGGAGATCTTCTCTAGAAACAGTTCTCCTCTTTCCTCCATCACCTTCTTACAGCGAGACAAGTCCTGGAGACAGAAACGCCTGTTATGAAGCGCAGACACTGATCTGGGTCAAGAGTTTTTATTTTTGGAAAAACATGGATCAGTGGTGACCCATACGAGGAATTATTGGCCTTTTAAAATCACACCAAAACAATTTGGAAGAAAATGGCGACTGGCAAATATTACAACTAACGTAAAGGTTTTGAAGTGGCCTAATCAAAGTCTGAATTTTGGGCATGCTCAAAAACGTGGCTCGAAATGACTCCGCAGCGACGTGAAAACCTGCTTCACGCTGTCAGCCGTCACAAACGCTACAACGTGAAACACGCGTCACCTGATGCTCCAGGGATGTGAGGCTTATGAAGCGCAGGAACAGCTCTCCCCCGGAGGACACGGCCACAGAGGAGTCCTCTCCCTTCAGGCAGGATGTGGCCCACGTCAGGCTCTCCCTCAGACCCAAGATGGTTTCACCTGGACGGAAGGACAGACATTCAGACTGAGCCAAACACATACACGTCCTGATTAAAGCTGCAGCCAACTATGATTTTTGACAATTGATTAATCGGACAAAAAAAAAACATCGGCATTTTGCAAATTTTTTTTGTATTTAAGCCTGTTTTTACACATTAGAAATACAACAAAATACACACAAAAACATAATTCAGTTTAAGTCAGTTTAAAAAAAATTGCAATATGTAGCATGAAAGCATCATTTGTAGCAAAGGTTGCATCTGCAGTTAAAAAAATACTGTCTACTAATGTTCTTTTTTTAAATTCATGGTTAGCAAATGGTGATTAATATATATTTTTAACAGACTTTAAGCCAATGGAAGCCAGGCAACATCGCAGCATCCTCAGATTGTGACTTGGTTAGCTGAAGGTTTTTGGAACGGCTCATTTTCCAGACACCAAAACAGGTTGTTGCTAGGTAATGAAAGAGCGAGTCAGCTGAGAGGTTGAGCGGCTGAAGACTTTACTCTGCCTTCATCCCCCAGAATGCTGTGCGGTTCTGGATTGGTGTTTCGTGAATAATCTATGAATTGAACATTAAACTTTCTATGAGACGTATTATTGTTGATAACACCTGTGTATTGCGATATGTGCATCACTGATTTATACTCTTAGGATGTGCTCTTGTATTGTAGAAGCTTCAAAGTGAGATTTGACTCATTTGAGTTGAGTAGAGGATCAATATGATGGCATATTATGATTTGAGTTCCTCCCACTGATAAAGTGATCAATTTCTTACCCATTTCCATTCGTCGTAATTTATTGACCAGAGTCGCATCTATGCTGATTGGTCTATATTTAACTTGGAATGAATTGCTAGTAAAATATTCTGTAAGGGTAACCCTGTTGTACTAATCCTAATACTGCATGATACCGGAGTGCAATATTCATGTCGCAATTGACTGTTTGGAGTAGTAAGTGTTGCTTCACCAGTTGGACGGTCTATTGGCAGGAGACGCTCTAATCAGATAGAGATGACGTTGCACAAAATGCTTAATTTCACAGGTCGATGGAAGCGCAGATTAGGAAAAATATAGACAGTCGCTGTATTATCGCAAGAGTGAGAGACCACAGGCTGCGGGTTAAAGATCACAAGTACATCTCTCTCCTCATAGAGAAGAAAAAGACGTAGCAGCGATGGATAGTGGTGTTACATGGGTCAACTTTTCACTACTTCACTTTTTTCCCTGTCATTTTTTTTTAAACCTTCCATAAAAATTGAACATTACTGAAAATTTCTTTTGAGATTCTAGGCGAGTGGGCCTTTATTTGAGTGTTGTTGTGCTTTTGTGGATATACAATGGTAATAAAAATTGTCAAAAAAGAATTTACCACATATCTGCCCCATACAGAGCTTCATAAGCCTGACGGGCCTCCAGGCTTTACTCCCCCCACCAGGCTGCATTGTTTTTATTCATTTGTTTGTACACCAGTAACTGTGATGGCAAACAAAGACGGGTTAACAAGCCTCTCGTTAGTAAACTGTTGGAAGCACAATGGCAACATCGTATGCCAGTATGCGCATATATAGGGAGCCAGAGGTCAGGAGTTTTTATTTTACACAATTTGAGTTGTTTTTGTTTAACTCAAACACAGCAGCGCCTCCTACCACCAGCCTTAGCAAGTTTTCTGGGTGAAACTGCACCCTTTCATTATTTCTTACCCAGATATTGTTCTCTCTTCAGATAACTGGGCCTGATGGTAAACAGATTTACAAAGGAGACAGAGAGTCGAGTGGGAAATACTCCGTGGCTGCACACATGGACGGAACCTACAGGTTCTGCTTCAGCAACAAGATGTCCACCATGACGCCCAAGATCGTCATGTTCACCATCGACATCGGAGAGGCGCCGAAAGGCCAGGACATGGAGACGGAAGGTACTCAGATCGGCCACGTCTGAGTACACGGCCCGTTTTATGTGATGCTGTTTCTATTTTAAAGATTTTCTCGTTTGAATTTCTTTTTGACTTTACTTTGGGTAAATTTCCCTCCTTTATAGGTGGTGACAGCTGGGATGGTAGGAAAAAAAGAAAGGCAGAATAAGTGAAAACTGTCATATTAAATTTGGGATGCACTGTGGAGTTTTCTCTAACCAGTCTTGTTTTGATATTATAAACTAATATTAGATGTTGTTTGCAACAGATGCGGCCTTAATGTTTGTTTTTTTTAACTGTTTGCACTGAGTATCAGAGAAATGGTGTGCTATGAAAAAGTATCTGCTTCTTTTATGGATTTCAGCAGGTTTAGCTCGTCTTTCTTGGTTACTGAAGAGCATCAGACAGAAATGAACCGATGAACATGCAGTGTCAGTTTAAGGTTACTTTGCAGCATCTCAATCCACTTTAAGCGCACACAGTGACCCAACTGCTCAGCAACCTTCCATTTTGTTTGGGTTGAACCTGCTGCATAAACATCCAAACACTTGATTATTTCAAGAATTTTCATTTAGAGAGAAGAAAGAAAAATTATGGTTTCAGCACATCATTCATGTCTTAAAACGGCAAAGCAGCTCCAGACCATCATACTACCACTACCATGCTTCACTGTTTGTATGGTTCACTTTTCTGAAAAGTGGGGCAACTTTCCCCAAAAAAAGTTCCACTTTCACCTTGTCTGTCCATTTTCTTCAGGTTATCCAAGTGTGACTTTTTATATATATATTTTAAAGTTTGACAGCAATCATTTAAATGCGAGTCAGATGAAATCCATAAGCAGAGCAAATACTCCTCCACAGAACTGTAGTTGTAAAGGAATCGTGTCTCGGATGCAAGACGGTTTTTTTGCATGTACAGCGTAGAAGCCTGACGCACGTCCTCTGCACGCGTCGTCCTTCTGGGTTTAACGGCTCGCTCGCTGCTCGTTTCAGCTCATCAAAACAAGCTGGAGGAGATGATCAACGAGCTCGCCGTCGCTATGACGGCGGTGAAGCACGAGCAGGAGTACATGGAGGTCCGTGAGAGGATACACAGAGCGGGTAAGGACGCAAACCCAGCAACCGTTTGTTCTGATAAAGCGGAGTAAAATTTATCCTCACATCCTGTCTGCTGTGTTTTTTTTTGTTTGTTTGTTTTTGTCCTTCTAGTTAACGACAACACAAACAGCAGAGTGGTCCTGTGGTCCTTCTTCGAAGCCCTCGTTCTGGTGGCCATGACACTCGGACAGATTTACTACTTGAAGAGATTTTTTGAAGTGCGACGAGTGGTGTAGTTCCCTCCATCCATCCATCCATCCCTGTGTGTCCTCCACAGTTTTTTTTTTGTTTGTTTTTTTTCTCCTCCAACACCAAGACAGTTATTTCCACACTGAGAGACAAGACTGGCCATTTTGAGAAAAGCCAACACATGATTTGATCTGATGAATATTTTTCGTTGTTGCTGCTCTGTTACCTGCTTAATTCCCTCTTTAATTGTATGTTTGGAAACATATGGCCAAAAGAGTCTCCTTGTAGACGTCGGATTCTTTCATTCTTTTCTTTCTCTTTTGGGTTTGCCAGGTTTTGGTCGAGGTTTGATTAAAGTCTAGTTAAGCGCCGGTTTCTCGGCAGGAAAGCATTCACTGGCGCAAATGGCCGAGGTTTCTGCAAGCGCAACGCAAGAAAAATGTCAGAACGCGTGCGCGGAGTCACCACAGGGGGGATGTAGGATTTCATTGGAATGCAGCATCTGGGAGGTGGAGGGTTGTTCGTAAGGGTCAAAGTTCACCATTTCCACTCATGTTTTGAAGTGTTAAGGATTCATCTTGCAGCTGGTCTTTCTAAAAAAAAAAAAATGAGATAACCTCTACCACTGTTATTGGATTGAAAGTGGAACATGCCAAGGGGAACTCAGTGGACATTTTCATGGAGGTTCGTCTCTGCTCCCCGTGTATTTAACTAAATCAACCAGACCACTTGTTCACATGTCTAGTACGTTTTTACAGTTTAAAACTCGACTGCTGGTCGTTGAGGGTCAGATTTTAACTGAGCTATTTGGATGATAGCTCCGAAACAAAAGTGAATGAAATCTGAAATCCATATTAAATGTTGACTGAGGGCGGGGTCGAAAGGGGGCGGTTGGGAGTTTGTACACTTAATATATTTTTGTTTGGGCTTAGTTGCTTTTAGAATTGTCGTCAGGTTTTGGGTTTCACAACAATATGCCATGTTTAGTTTCTGGAGCATGTTGAGTGCCACGCAGCCGTCAGAGCGCCGCCGTGTAATTCCTACGGTCCCTGAATGCTGCGTGGAACCAAACGTGCTTCAGTTTTGTATTAAAACAGTTTTGGCGACCTCAGCCTGCTCTGGACACAGTGTCTCCTTTTGTTTTTGTAATTGCAACAACAACCTGCTTCATGGGTCTGTACAAATGAAGGATGGCTTTCTGTGAACAAATCCCCCAGGTTTCATAATAAAGCAAATATTCTGTACGACTTTTTGTCTCGTTAAAACATCTTTGAGCAGCAGATGTCTAGGACGAAAGATTTGCCTTTGTTTAGGGATGTGCCTAAAAGACCGAACAACAACACAGCAATAACCCATTATTAATCAAGAATCTAATTGGATCAATCTGTGTCATTGCCATCATGTGGGCACAATGCAAAGCAGCTGTAGTATATTTTCCCCAATAGGAATAAAGTTGCCTTTTCTGCTGCTGATGGTCTGGAGGGCTGAGTTGATCTGAGACTAGCTGTTAAACAGACCAGAGGAGAGGTCAAAGGTTATGCAGTTATGAAATAAGCTTATTTGCTGCCATTTTACTAATTAAGCCCTAATAAAATCTTAACATTGAGAACAAGTTGGCTGCAGACTGATTTATAGAACAAAAAGCTCAAAGGGGTTTAACTATATATAATTTTTGATGTTTGCACATCTGAGATCTAGAACAATAAATCTGGTCTCCCTCTAACAGATTCACTGATATTTAAACATGTTAAACGTCTGTCTAGGGCCCCATATTACTTTGAGCCAACCTGCATCTCTGGAATCTACCTGAATCCCCCGTTGGCCCCTATGTCAGCCCGCCGATTCTTTGGGGACATTTTGATTCATTTAATTGCGGCATGTTTGGCTTTATGCTGCGGTTCTAATTATTGCTGCAGTATTTTCTCTGACGTTTATTTCATAACCTCTAAATGCTCTGGGCCGAAACTTCCTTTAACACTTGAGGTTCTGCAGTGTCTTCTATTTACAGCCGTTCACTTCCAGGCCAGATCCCATCAGCAGCGGCTTTTACCCACCTGGCAGAAACATTAAGGAGAAGCAGAGCCAACAGTCAGCAGGAGGTACCGGGTGGTACACTATACATTATATTACAGAAGCTAAATTAGGGAAAATCAAATGTTTTTTTTTTGCCATTGGTGATGTACAGACAGGAGGAACATGCTCCAGTTAGTGAGAGGTTGATCAACTTGAGGCTCAACTCTCTGCTGCCTCACCAGCTTCGCTTCCGGCAATTTAAATGGGAAATACGAAAATTCAGCAATTTTGAGGAAAAAAAAAATCAGAATTGGTCAAGCCAAATGAAAAATAGGTACTTTATAGTACAAACCTCGGGGTGAAAAAGCAATGTTAATTATATATTTCCATGATTTAATGATCGCAGGTCGCTGATTCACAATTAGTATCGAGTAACTGGCTTATCAAATTAATATTTTCATCAACCCAGTTTCACAGCAGTAATGATTTATGTAGCTGCTGATGAAATTTAGCTGATTTGTCTGGATGTTTTCCTAACTGAAAAAAATACAACACAACAACAGATGTATACACCCTGGTTTGCTGAACAGATGATTTGGGAAAATATTCCACATGAAGTTTTATTTTTAAATTTTTTTAAGAGTTTTTTAAACTCTTAATCAGATTAATTTTTACTATTTGATTAAAGACAGTAAGTGTCAAAACATTTAAACCTCCTGCTACAGAATTTAAAAGCCCATTATATTATTATTATTATTTTATGTGCAGTATTTTTATAGAGAAAAAAAAACTCCAAGGGAATCTTGTCCAGATCAGAACAAAGCGCTTTACTGACATCTACTGGTGAAAAAACATATGGCGCCCTTAACATTCCTTCTGCTTAAATCCCTTTCTTGCCGACTGTTGAATTTCTTTTGAACACTCGCAAACAAGAGCAAAAATACTACCTGTTCCTGTGACCTTTTAACACCTAGATAAGTTACAGCGTGTTTTACAGGGACACATTTCAGAAACAGCAAATTAAGTTTCAATCCTAAAATTGTCATCGGACATTTCATATATGATATGATAATATCACTGACTCAATAGGAATTCATATTTTCATTGATTAATGGTGTAGATGTTTTTTTTCCTAGTTTCACAATATAAAATAGAAAATGAAAATTGTTTTTATTCAACTTCAGACGTTTTTCAGTTGTTCTGCTGGAGCGGGGAAACGTGACATCACGTTCCTCTGTGACATCATAGAGCTGCATTCTTGAATTCCAGGGAACAGCCAGGAAAATATCAATCATTTGTTGAAGGCTCTCCTATCGACATTGCTTGTCTGCGATTTGTTTGGACAATGGACAACGAACAATATCTGGAGCTGGAGGCTCAACTTGCAGAGCACGAGCTTGAAAACAACAGGAAGTTTGAGAAAATGGAGAACGAAATTTTGAAATTGCGAGAGGAATACAAGTATCTAAGGCAAAAACAAAACATCTCAAAAAAAGGGGGGAGGATAGAGAGTTGAACATGGACAAGGAGCTGGATGAAGACGTGCCAGTGCAGAAGACATCTTTCTTAAAATGTTTTGCCCTAGGCTTCGGAATAGGGATTGGGTGTATTGCTGTACTCGAGACCGGTCTTGCACTTGGACTCTGGGGAAACAATATTTGCACCATCATGTGCAAATATTGTGGTCTCCGTACAGAGGACTCAGGACTCAGAGGCTGGTCAGGATAGCAGCAGGAAGGAGACGCCGGGGAGACCTGTAGGGACGCTGGGAAAATCGGTAGGGACGCCGGGGAAACCTGTAGAGACCCCGGGGAAACCTGTAGGGACCCGGGGAAACCTGTAGGGACCCAGGAGAAACCTGTAGGGACCCAGGGGGAAACCTGTACGGACGCAGGGGAGACCTGAGGGACCCGGGGAAACCTGTAGGGAGCCGGGGAACCTGTAGGGAGCCCGGGGAAACCTGTAGGGACCCTGGGGAAACCTGTAGGGACCCTGGGAAAACCTGTAGGGACCCCGGGGAAACCTGTAGGACCCGGGGAAACCTGTAGGGACCCCGGGGAAACCTGTAGGGACCCCGGGGAAACCTGTAGGGACCCCGGGGAAACCTGTAGGGACCCTGGGGAAACCTGTAGGGACCCCGGGGAAACCTGTAGGGACCCAGGGGGAAACCTGTAGGGACCGCAGGGGAACCTGTAGGGACCCCGGGGAAACCTGTAGGGACCCCGGGGAAACCTGTAGGGACCCGGGGAAACCTGTAGGGACCCGGGAAACCTGTAGGGACCCGGGGAAACCTGTAGGGAGCCCGGGGAAACCTGTAGGGACCCGGGGAAACCTGTAGGGACCCGGGGAAACCTGTAGGGACCCGGGGAAACCTGTAGGGACCCGGGGAAACCTGTAGGGACCCGGGGGAACCTGTAGGGACCCTGGGGAGACCTGTAGGGACCCGGGGAAACCTGTAGGGACCCGGGGAAACCTGTAGGGACCCGGGGAAACCTGTAGGGACCCGGGGGAAACCTGTAGGGACCCCGGGGAATCCTGTAGGGACCCTGGGGAAACCTGTAGGGACCCGGGAAAACTGTAGGGACCCTGGGAAACCTGTAGGGACCCCGGGGAAACCTGTAGGGACCCGGGGAAACCTGTAGGGACCCGGGGAAACCTGTAGGACCCTGGGGAGACCTGTAAGGACGCGGGGGAGACCTGTAGGGAGCCGGGGAAACCTGTAGGGAGCCGGGGAAACCTGTAGGGACCCCGGGGAAACCTGTAGGGAGCCTGGGGAAACCTGAAGGGATGCCAGGGAGACCTGTAGGGACCCCAGGGAAACTGTAGGGACCCGGGGACCTGTAGGGACCCCGGGGAGAAATGTAGGGACGCTGGGGAAACCTAGGGACCCGGGAAATCTGTAGGGACCCCAGGGAAACCTGTAGGGACCCCGGGGAACCTGTAGGGACCAGGGGAGACCTGAGGGACCCGGGAAACCTGTAGGGACCCCGGGGAAACCTGTAGGGACCCCGGGGAAACCTGTAGGGACCCGGGGAAACCTGTAGGGACCCGGGGAAACCTGTAGGGACGGGGAAACCTGTAGGGAGCCCGGGGAAACCTGTAGGGACCCGGGAACCTGAGGGACGACGGGGAAACCTGTAGGGACCCCGGGGAAACCTGTAGGGACCCGGGGAAACCTGTAGGGACCCTGGGGAAACCTGTAGGGACCCTGGGGAAACCTGAAGGACGCAGGGAGACCTGAGGGACCCAGGGAAACCTGTAGGGACCCCAGGGGAGACCTGGAGGGACGACGGGGAAACCTGTAGGGACCCGGGAAACCTGTAGGGACACCGGGAAACCTGTAGGGACCCGGGGAAACCTGTAGGGAGCGGGGAACCTGACGGACGCCAGGGAGACCTGTAGGGACCCCAGGGAAACATGTAGGGACCCCGGGGAGACCTGTAGGGACCCAGGGGA